TACGTATCGCATGCACGATTGGCTAAATACAAGCAAATAGGACTATTTAGTTTGTACAATTGCATGGGTTAAGTGCGATCACTCTATACTAGCCAAAAAGAGTTAAGTAAAAAAAACGTGAAATGGATACATGCACTAATACACTTTAATGAGCTCTAGTTGCATTGCTTTCTTTTGTGTCTATTTACTCTATTACAATTTAATCACCAAATTAAACGGATTAAATGACTTTATTCTAAAGCCGGACAACTGATTATAGCGTATATAAGACAATAGAAAACAAAGGAATTCGCATAATTGTGATTTTTTTCCTTTTAGCTATTAAAAGAACATTTATTTTTTAATTATTTATTTTTTTAGCTATTTACTGAAAATGTGTATTGCTTATTTACAAAGTACTGCCGCGTATCATCAAAAAGTCCAAATCTTAATATATGTCTCGCGTTCCGTACTCCTAAATATTCGTATTACTACATGAATCATTCACTTATTTACAGTATACTCGTAATGCGTATCAGAAACTAATAACGAATTCAAACGCACGTGAAAACCTACGTACATGTCTGAATATTCTTATTACTACGTATCCTTTACTAATTTCCGCGTAGTTTAAGTCCTTCTTATTTACAGTATACTGGTACGTAATGCGTATCAAAAACTAATAAGGGAATTCAAACGCGTGTAAACTACGTGCGTGTGTTGCGTTCCGTACTCCTGTATATTCGTATTACTACGTATCCTAATAATTTCCGTGAATTAGGTCAACTTCTTATGATTCACAGTATACTGACAAAGCGTATCAGAAACTAATGTAATTCAAACGCGTGTAAACTACGTATGATGTCTTACGTTTGCTACGTATTCGTTTTACGTATATCCGTGCGTAATTTCCCTAATGGTAATGTGTATCACCATAAACGCATAGGAGAATTAAAACGTATCCTACAACGTAAGTTTCTTGCACTCCGTGCTCTACAATATTGTTATTGCGTATCCGTATGAATATACGTGTAATTTACGTATTGCTTATTTGCAGTGATGTTGATGCGTATCACTAGAAACCCATAATAAAAATGTAAACTTGTCAACATCAATGCATTTCTAGAAAAATATTTCTAAAGAAAGAAAATCTTTAAATATTCATTATTCGTAATACGAGTGGCTATATATTTTGTATCGAGTTTTGATTACCTAATATGGCATAAAAATATGCCAATCAAGTTTTAATGTTCCAGAGCATGCGTACTCTGGCGTTTATTCTATTACGAGTTGCTTATTATAGCAATGATACTTAATTGATTATGCAGTGATTGATGCAACATTTTTCTAATATATTCTGTTCAAAATATTTAAAGCTATGTGTTCTATAGTTAATCTTGGTAGTTTCTTGTCTTGTGGACCACCAGGCTGTAGTAGGCTTGTGGAACACATGCTTGTTTCTGTCAAAATAAAGTTTGCGATAATAAGCTCATAGAATGTTTAAATGTTTCACCGCACGTGTGTGAATTACACTGGAAAAAATCGCGCGCTTTAAAGGTTGTAAATTTGATGTAAATATGATGTAAGTGTCCAAAATTAATGGAAATAATTTACATCACTTACATCAGATGTACATCAAATTTACAACCTTTAAAGCGCGCGATTTTTTCCAGTGTTAACTCAAGCTGATTGGCTGATAAAATTGTCAATGAGTTTCATTTTAACCCGCGACTCCATACCAAAAAGCAAATAAATAAGGACCATGACCAACTCAAATGCTTATATAGCATAGTTATAAGTCAACAAAGGTTTGACAAAAGCCTTACTTAAGTACCCATAATTGCAGACTGACCTCTTCCAAATGACTAACTTTAAACGAGACGACATCTCTATAGAAAAAAAAACTAAACATATGCAACACTTTGCACTATTTACTATTTTAAAAATTGTACTAGGTGAACAATAGAACACAATACTAATTGTAATTACAATAATTTAGCAGTATGTTGTACACTTTAAGTGTTTGTACTCTACTACTTATAACTAAAGTATATCGTAAATTGTACTTACATAAGCAATTCATTGCTGGTGCTCCTGATATGCCATAGCATACTTGATTTCTTCCCTGGGGTCCCACCCATGTGTAGTCACAGCTTTGTAAACCTCCATCAGTAGATGTGGAAATTCTTTCAAAAACACAAAGTCCTCAAGAATCAGTTTCTTAATGTCAGGTGGTCGACTGCGCTCAGATACGTGATTGTTTGCGTTCCTGATGAAACGAACTAGCTCAACCACGGAACTAGTATCGTAGGTTCTTGGGTTTTGGAAGTAGGTTGCTCCCTTTTTGTTTACTTTTCCGATTGGTTTCTTCATCTCGGCAACGACTTTTGCCATATCTTTGTAATTAGGGTCATCCCACTTTGCATATCTTACAATGATGGAGAAGTTGTTCTGAAGATCAGTTTCTACTCCTGTTGGTTTATGATAAGAGGCTGCTTTACTAGTAGATCGACATTCAAACTCGTACTGATTGCCAACAGCACATAGGAAATCCATTTTCTTCTTTTGAGTCCAGAATAAAGGGTGACTTAGTGAATCGCCTGCAGAAGGTCGGTGACTCGGATCTTGTTGTAGCATGCCTTTTATTAGGTGTGTTGCTTCAGGACTAAGGGATATATCAAATCCAATCATGTTGTAGCTTAGCATATTGCTTTGTGTTTTGACATCTATAACTTCTTTGCTCTTATTAGAGCAATCCGCTGGGCTGAATGGATGTGTTTGCTTTGAAAGAATGTAATGGACCAAGAGTCCACAAGAAAAAACATCAGACGATGGAGAATGCTGGTAAGTGCTAGAAGATATAACTTCTGGAGCAATCCAGCATCGAGTACCAACATTGGTACCAAGGACGGTGGTCCCAACTGTTGTCAGAGGGCTGCTCAGACCAAAATCTGCAACCTTAAGACAAAGATTCGGATGGAGTTTGTAAAGGATATTTCCAGGTTTGAGATCACGATGAAGAATTGGCTTTGACTTTTGCCCATGTAGATACGATAGTCCTTCGATAATGTCTTTGCATAGCAGCACGCTTCGACTTGCATTAAACGAAGAACTTGCAAAGTAATCATCYAGATGTCCCTCCATCAATTCTAGCACAATGTATACAAAGTCCTTATCACTGTCATCAAAGAAGATGTAGCTAACGACTTGTTGACAATCTGCTAATGCTGTCAAATTTCTTATTTCTCTTTGATCTTCTGGCCGCACAAGACGCAATTTTTCAATCTTCTTAATTGCAATCTCCCTTCCATCTTTTTCGTTGATTCCTGCAAAAACATGACCAAACGACCAACCTCCTATCGGTTCTTTATGAAACCAGTACGTGCCAATGGTGCCAACATTTTGTTTCCTTGAAACTCTTTTAAGTTTGTCTACGTGAGCTTTGGAAAACGAAGTCCATGGAATGATCATGGGCACACTGTCAGGGTCAACTTTTTTGGTCAAAAAGGAATGTAGTTCTGGGAAATTTTCGCACAAACCCATGCACRATTTATTATCCGCCCCGCGTAAAAGCAGTTGTCTTGCAATGTTCAGGTGAACAGATGTTAATCCTGTATCATCAAGCTCAATATTAGATTGCGGTGAGCTTATGTCTTCAGTGTGGTCAATTTTCCGCTTTTTAGCTGGTGGCTCGCTAGATTGACTTCCGTCTTCAAATTGAAATCTCTGTCCTTGATCATGAAGCTTTTTGATGTTGGTGCAGCAATGAAAAAGTGCATCATTAAGATCATAATCGGATGGAGATGTTCTTAAGTTGAAGATTTTTTCTATGAGAAGCTGCTTCCAGTTAGCACGGGTAGACTCATCTTTACATATAGTCTCAACTAGATTTTTCAAGATTGACGGGCAGGACACACAGGCAACCTCAATTAAGGCATTGGCAAGTTCATAGACSTCTGACCTTAGTAGAATAGTCAATATAGATTGCCCTTCGTTGTCAGAACTGCAGATATCAARACCAAATGACACACACGTTTCAAAGARCTTTTTCTKATCTTCTTCGACATCTGGAAAGAAATGTCCTGGCTTTACCTTGAACACTTGCTGTTTTGCAACATTTAACAGAGGAGGTTGTCCTTCCMTATCAACATCATTTGGTTTTGCTCCGGATTCTATTAAGATCCTGGTTGCGGTCCAAGTCTTGCAAAGATGAAGAGGTGTTTGATCTTGATCATTCCTTGGGTTTGGCGACATTCCKGGYTTCCATAAGTGCTTGAATATGGTTYCAAKAARWWYTWGAAAAGTGAWGCCTTTCATTAAAGGATCTCYAYAGTAKTTTTGATTTGGCGGSAGAGATAAKGAAGCCCAAAGATGTAGAGGAGAATTAAGTTTGTGATCCACCTTCTTTAAGACAGTTAAATCTTTGCCAGCTGCTTTGGAAAACATTTCGAGAAGTTTAACTGCACTTGATAAAACAACATCTTGAATCTTCCCATCATTCACAGATAGTCCACGTTGTATCAATTCCATAACCAAATGATACACAGTCTTTCCACTTCTCGTTGTTTCACCAATGAGCGAACCATCTTGTAGAAGAAATTCACAGATCTCCACCACTGTAATGATTCCACTCCATGTTTCTTTTTCGCTGGCTAGTTCCCATGCTTGTTCTGAAAGACAGAAATGTAGAGATGTCTCTTTTTTCTGATTTCTGATGTTGGTTCGTATCCCATGGTTTCTAAGCGTCTCAAGGATTTCCATCACGCTCTCTCGTGTTATCCCATGGAATGGAAGCAGAGTAGCATAATGAAGGGCAGTATTTCCATACGAATCGGCACTGTTGGGATTGACACCTAACATCACAATTAAATCCATTGCTTCTGGTATTCTTTCGTCGTCGAGTAGTGCATTCAAGGTATCAATAGATTGCTCTTCATGACTAGCGTATGTGTATGCAACAGATATAGCATTCGGAAATATCTGTCTTCTATTCAATGTATTAGAAATGTGAAAGTAGTTTGGTAATATAGCATACAAATAGCTCAATGCTGAGGTGAAGATTGCTGAATTACGTATGCCATTCTTGATAAAAAATGATAGTCTTTCTGAAACATTCCTGTTATCCTTAAAACTGTTGCAACAATGTCTCTCAACAAAATACGACAAAACGCTCATGTCGTTATTATCGGTATCGTCTACAACAGCCCCCTTGCGAAGAAGCTTCGTCGCTATAACTTCAAACATTTTACTATCATCAATTGTTGTAGCTGCAGAGAACATAGCTGTTCTGCCATACATGTCTCTTGCGTTTACGTAAGTAGTGTCTACGTAATTGAGCAATGCACTAACGTACTGCTCGCATAAATGTGACCCTTTGTAGTAGTTGAAATATNGTGCAACCTCTTCGTTGCTATTTTTAGCTGCACCGAATAAAGGAGTTTGTCCATCTTCATTAGATACAATGACATTAATATCTTTCGTAAAAAACAGTCGTACAAAATTTTCGTCGTCACTTTGAACTGCATGTAATAAAGGAGTTTGTCCATATTTATCAGATACGTTGACATCAGCACCTTTCTCAATCAACAGTCGTGCAACCTCTTCATTGCTATTTCCAGCTGCATGTAATAAAGGAGTTTGTCCATATTTATCAGATACGTTGACATCAGCACCTTTCTCAATCAACAGTCGTGCAACCTCTTCATTGCTATTTCCAGCTGCATGTAATAAAGGAGTTTGTCCATATTTATCAGATACGTTGACATCAGCACCTTTCTCAATCAACAGTCGTACAACCTCTTCATTGTTATTTTCAGCTGCACGTAATAAAGGAGTGACGCCATGCTTATCAGATACATTGACATCAGCACCTTTCTCAATCAACAGTCGTGCAACCTCTTTGTTGTTATTTCCAAATGCACTGAATAAAGGAGTTCTTCCATAGTCATCAGTTACATTGACATCAGCACCTTTCTTAATCAAAAGTCGTACAACATCTTCATTGTTATTATTTTTAGCTGCATGTAATAAAGGAGTTTGTCCACCTTTATCAGATACATTGACATCAGCACCTTTCTCAATCAACAGTCGTGCAACCTCTTTGTTGTTATTTCCAACTGCACTGAATAAAGGAGTGCTTCCATAGTCATCAGTTACATTGACATCAGCACCTTTCTTAATCAAAAGTCGTACAACATCTTCATTGTTATTTCCAGCTGCATGTAATAAAGGATTGTTTCCATAGTCATCAGTTACATTGACATCAGCACCTTTCTTAATCAAAAGTCGTACAACATCTTCATTGTTATTTCCAGCTGCATGTAATAAAGGATTGTTTCCATAGTCATCAGTTACATTGACATCAGCACC